CTATCTATACCCTCTGTGTTTTATGGATGGTTTGTGACGATTTGTGGATGGAGTGAGCGACAGAATTTGGGCTTTTTAACACACACACACACACACACACACACACACACACACACACACACACACACACACTTACTTCGCACATTCATGGTTTTCTTGGTGGAGTTGTGCATAGCAAACATGACAACACACACACATATGGTCCCCATTTTTAATCTTCCGTGCATTTGGAGGTCGACACTGCCTCTTGAACATTAGCTATCCGCAATTTATTTTCGATTTCCATGGCAGATGCCAAACTGCGCACGTTGAAGATCTTGGAAATCATTCTTTGGTGGGCAAGGAGATAACCATAAACAAACAAAAAAAACGAGAGAAAGCGAGAGATGGAGACAGTCATTAAGGAATCACCAAAACCACAGGAAGAAAACGAGGTGAAAAGCTCTCTCTCTCTCTCTCTCTCTCTCTCTCTCTCTCTCTCTCTCTCTCTCTCTCTCTCTCTCTCACACACACACACACACACACACACACACACACACAACTTGGCAGTAGCAGCTACTGTGGGCTCAGCTAACGATACTTCCTAGTGAGGTCCCAAAGAATAGCCTACACTTACGGCGGTGGAGGTAGTAGAGGAGAGGGGAGGCGAAGAAAGCAGAGCTTGCAATCTCAGCATGGGGCCGCGGACGGTCAGAGCGAGAGGAAGTCGCGTTGGAGAAAGAGATGAGAAAAGCAGGCGGAGGGGGATATCGAGAGCGGACGTCGAGGACGTCCACAGCTGGGAGATGGCGGGGGAGGAGGGAGGGCAGCGGGAAGAACAAAGAGTCGAGAGCGGAGAGGGGGGAGGAGGGGCGAGGAGGGGAAGCGGATGAAAATGGGAGCAGGATAAAGAGAGATTAGAAGAGGGAGGGAAGGGGAGGGGGGGGGGGGGGGGGGGGAAGTGATTGATCTGAAGATGGGCAAGAGGATAACCGCAAGAGCAGGAGGTGGAAGAGGAGCAGCAAGATGAGAATGTGGAGGAGAGGAAGTATAGGAGCTGTCTTTGTTTTATTAACTCACTTACTTCTTGTCTACTATTTCAACCCCGGTCAGACGACAAAACGGCCAGCATAAGTTGTCATAAGCTTCTCTTGTGGGTTAACTCATGACGCCATGGGAGCTCGCGATGGAGGAATAGCGAACAGACGAAGATCAAAAAAAAAAAAAAAAAAAAACAAGACGGAGGATGGGGGCAGGCAGGAGGAGGGGAGAGAGAGGAGTAGGAACAGAAGGGAGAAGGTAATACTACAGTAGTACTATATACTTACGTCAATTAAGAAAGTCCTTCCCATTTTTTTATGGTCGGAAATGGTTGGAAAAGTCTGGAATCTGACGAGTTCTGACACCTGGAATCTGACGAGTTCTCTCCCTGCTCGTCATTCTCCACAAGGGACAGAATTATAGCGAGTGTACTACTTCTTACGACCGGCGCGCGCGCGCCCATCCCCCCGATCCTGCATACATCTCCGCGCACATTGCCACGCACAAACACCGCTCTGACAGAGAGAGAGGAGGTGACACCTCACCACATCGATCTACGCCCGGCCGATACGGCGCGCGAACCCGCCCGTTTCTGAACGGAACTCTGCCCATCTCACGGAGCACTTCTCCACACAACACCACTGTGTCTCTGTGTCTGAGTGAGCGTGTGTGTGTGTGTGTGTGTGCAGGTGTGTGTGTGTGTGTGTGTGTGTGTGTGTGTGTGTGAGAGAGAGAGAGAGAGAGAGAGAGAGAGAGAGAGAGAGAGAGAGAGAGAGAGTTGCACGCAGCCCGCTTGCACTTCGTCACACCACGCCTAATTGCAGTTCGCTATGCAAAGCCAGTATGCTCTTCGAAATTCGGTGTGCCGAGGCACAGCAGCCACACCACTCCGGCCGGAAAGTGCATAATGGAGCATGTAACTTCGGCAAAAGCATAGANGAGAGAGAGAGAGAGAGAGAGAGAGAGAGAGAGAGAGAGGCCAGAACGACGTTATTGAAGGGGGGGGAGGAGGGGAGGGGAGGGGGAGGAGGGGGGAGGAAAGCATAGAACGGCACACCCACCATAGGTTTTGTCGTTTTCATATTCCGGGAGCCAAGTCCCACTTACGCTGATTCTTCATTTCGGGCCGTTGATCTTTCGAATCTACGGTCAGAAGTTGAGTATTCCACGTCAGTGGGACTTGGCCCCGGGAGTGGTGTGGCGATGCCCTTGGCCAAAAGCAGAGGATGCGGGACACACGTGTTTCTTTTCGCCTTTCTGACCTGTCAAATCCGGACGATACGCCAGGCTTTTTTTTTGCTTTTTTTTTTTTTTTTGAAACAAGTTCAATTCATATTGCAAAACGCGGGGACCGAACCTGGGCGCTCGGTTGATCTCCACAGTAGGAGGGCAGCAGTTTGAAGGAAGTGGGGTAGGAGTGAGCGTCGCCTAATGTCTGGAGCCCAGCTCCGCTGCCTCGACCTAGAGGTAGAGTGGTTCTATGCTTAGGCAACCGTGTCGGTCTACGCACGATGGACTAAGAGGTATGTTGTGGTAAGTCTTGGGGCGGTTTTGGGCCCTGGAGGGTGTGGTCCCCACCCCGTAAGCTAACTCTGGGTAATGCTCCCAGCTCTTCCGGGTAGACTGTGACTCGATTTTATTATTGAAATATAAGCCTTGGGCACTGGGCCCGTTCTGTTGGGGGGGGGGGGGGGGGGGGAAAAAAAAAAAAAAAAAAATAAAAATTTATAAATTCCCCTGATCAGGCTACGAGTGGCGGTAAGTGCTTCTACGGTAGTAGGGGGGGGGGGGGGGGAAAAAAAAAAACGCGGGGACCTCACAATTCAACCACCGGGGCCAAGTCCCACTCGCAGCGTTGAGTTACCTCAACGCCCGAATCTGGACGCTTTTGCGAAGATGTGCAGAAATGGTGTTGAGTTGCCTGAACTGCACGTCTCCACAAACATGTCCAAATTCAGGCGTTGAGGTAGCTCAACGCTGCTAGGGGGACTTGGCTCCCCGTAATGGGACCCCAAACCTCATCCAAACCTGTATTTCCTACCCACGCTCTAAACGTGTTCCAGTTTTCTGTCATCCTTATCCTGGGGCTAGGTCCCACTTACACGAATTAAGAGATATTGACCGTAGATAGCACAGATCAACGGTCAGAATCTCTTAATCCGTGCAAGTGGGACCTTGCCCCTGGCTACCATTACATCTTTACCTCTGTTACCACTGCCTTGACCAGGTCCTCTCAGCTAATTAACACCACTCTAGGCAATCTTGCGAACTTGTCATTACAGTTTTACCTTTGAATGAACATCACTACCCTAATCAACAACCACTCCTGTCTAGGCTATGTTGTCCCCTGAAGCTATATTCTTCTCTCTCAATTTAACCTTCACTATCTACCTATGCTTGTATATGCCAGTTTCTTTTTTTTTTTTTTTTGGGATAATTCGCAAAATACCCCCAGAAGTTGAGATATGTGCCAAAATGCCCCTAAAAGATGTGGGTAGAGCGGAATGCCCCTCTGACAAAAAAAATATTTTCCGAAATACCCCTGGCATCGGTTGGACCCCCATCTTTGCAATATACCCCTACCGGGTACCGTCCAACTTTGCCAAATGCCCCAGCCCTTGCCAACTTCTCCTAGGCGCTATTGCAAAAGGACAAGGCCCAAACCGGGAGGTCCAAGTTGCAAAGTTGCACACCCGCCTGACAGGGGCACAACACAAAGATTTCGGCCCAAAAGGGCATTCAGCTCTACCCACATGTTTCAGGGGCATTCTGGCATATATCTCAACTTGTGGGGGTATTTTGCAAATTATCCCTTTTGTTTTAATCTCATATGTCTACAATAATTTCAAACAATTCAATGAAGGAGGCCGGGGATCCTCACAATTCAACCCCATGTTATCCCGGCAGTCTCAGCCGGTTTAGCTTCAATTACCCATCAGAAGTTCCAAAATGGACTAACCCTCACTGCCAAACTGTGTTCCAATTACTACCCTTGTCTACCCTTCTTAGCTTCCCTCTCCTACTACACCTATGCCTAATGCACAGACCTACCACACGGTTTGACCCCGGCCCAAGCTCAGCCGAGAGGAACATTCGTTCCATTAATGATAGACTTGGCACTCTGCTATGTGATGAGCCAGGATCCGTCCTGGGCGGTTTCCCGTACCCCTAAGGGAAAATCCCACAGGGAACCCCCAAAGCACGGATTCAAGATAATGGGAAAAATGGTATTTATTTTTCTTTTTCTTTCCTTTTTCTTTTGTAATTCGGGTCTCGCGTGGCCGGTTAGCAGCCGCGCCAAGAAATTCAAGAAATGGTTGGGAATTAGCAGAAACAGGAATTTTGAATTTTTGCGCGCGCGGCCGTTTTTGATTTTTTGTGCGCCGCGTAAACCCGTTCTCCCGCTCTGCATCCCCGCACCATCTTCCCTTCTTGCGGTGCATCTCCCTCCTGCATGTCTCTTTGTCTTCCCTACAAGCGAAGCCTGAACCCGCCTCTAGGGTATCAGCTAGCCTTTCCCCGCGAATGATTGGCTGTCTGATTGGGATGATCTGGGCAATGTGGTGGCCGCGGGAAAGCGCACCGCCGCACCCCACTTGGACGACCACCCGAATCACGCAGACCATTCGACTCGCCTCCCTCGACTCTTTTGGGAACTCTGCCCCTCTTTTGTTCTGCTCATCTACACCCCGTGCTTTGCGCAGCCTCTCCGCCGCCTTCCACGCTATAAATTCTCGCAAACCCTTCCTCTCACTCTCTTTGATCTCGGTTGTAAGTTGCACAAGCTATGCCCGAAGCCCGCGGTACCGAAAAGGCTTGACGTGCCCCATGTGGGGTGCAGTGATGGCAGGTGGTGGAGTTAGCGGTGGACTTGGGGTAAGGCAGTCGGAGGGACGGAGCGGTGGTGGAGATTAGACCCCGACAGCGGCAGGGCCTTGTGGCTATGGTTATCGATGGATTGGTTGGGGACTGGGCCCGAAGTGGCCATTCGTGAGAATTGTGTATTTTTAAAGACGAAGTTTTATCTCCATTGCTGCTTTGTCCCCGTGTGATGTGTGGATGACTCCCAAGGGTTGGGTAGTCTGTTAAGCATGTGGGGTATGACAATCTATGAATGTTGAAGGTTTCATTGAAGGCTCTCTGGGTATGTGTGTGTGTATGCGCCTCTGTGCCTGATGAGTGGAGGTATTGCGTGTCAATTGCTTGCGTAAGAGCATGAATGCGTCAGTCCCTTCCGTCTCCCTTCCTTTCTGATCAATCGCGCGAGCGTGGGTGTGATACGCTCCTACCTCCTTTCGCCGTCTATCTCTCTCTCTCCCTCTATCGGGCGCTGGTCGGGACCCCAAGAGGAGGCGGATACTTCCGGAGAGATAGGTCACCAACGTCCTCGCAAGGCGGCCGACCTCTCTATATCCACCCTGGGTACGTGACACCATGTTTCGGTTGATGGTGTAAGGAAGAGACGGAGTAGGAGAGTCGGGGGCATTCGTCCTCAGCGGTATTCGTTGATCTTTGCATGGAGTCACGTTTCGTTCCGACGGACACAAGCGCGGGCCATGGCCCGAGCTCGAACCTTGTCCCCGGGCGTCGCAGCACGCTTCCACCTTTCTTGATTGCAGATGACGACGGAGTATACTGCGATGCAGATGTGTGGATCATGCTGCGGCACACGGAGCCAATCCATCTTTATAACCCGGCCCAGGCGTGCCACATAGGCGGGTGTGGGTTTGTGCTGATTGAGCGATTTGCTTCCCCGCTCTTAATCTTGTCGTACACCGACCTTACGGTGCTGCCCTGGTCTGCCGTGTACGCCACCTGGCCACCGCAGTTTAATTATTACTGGTGTCGTCGGGGAGACTCGTGCTCGTGGCGACGGTTGGTCCTGGGGTACGAGGGGGCCAACCGATTCCCTGAACTCTCGTGCAACGCGGGTGCGTTGTCGGTGCGAATACCCTTACAAGGGTATCCGCCCTGGTTTTTGCGAATGACAGAAATAAATTTGGTTCAAAATTTAAGTATACCGTGCTAGACGCGGCTGCGCCTGTGACTTACGTTGGCTGAAGGTTGACTAGAATAGAGAGTGTGTGGGCGGGCAGGCTTGAGGTGCGCGTGATTTTATTTATTGATGACTGGAGAACCGGCGAGATCGCCGATCAAATTTCTATTTATTTATAATTTAAATTAGGATTAAAAAGATTTTTGCCTTTGATTGGTGCGTTTTCCCATGACTTGTGCGACGTGCGGAAGACGGCGTCGACAACAATGTGATTTTTGTAAACAAGTATATATATACAGGGTTGCCAGGCTGAACGTACGGAGACCCTTAAGCTAACCCCCGAACGTTCGGGCGTTCGGGTCCCCGTACGGGGCTGAAACCTGAAGCCGTTCGAACCCCGCAAAAAAATATTTTGAAACCTAAATATTATTTGTTTTTTTTGAAAATTTTTCTGTGACTTCTTTGTGATGGAAGGTATTTCCCTCTTAAGTTTTAAGCCATTCTGTTCGACAAGAAAAAAAAAAAAAAACAACGGCAGAGATGGTGGTAACAAAACTTGCTT